ACTTGTCACCGAACTATTGCCTTAGTTCCACTGAAGTCAGACTTCTAAAATGCCGTTAAACACGTTAGTCTGGCTAAAGTCAAACTGAACTGGACTAGTTCTAATCTAAATAATCCAGAAAATGTCCAAGTCACTTCGTAATGAGGTGCATGCTAGTCACAGTCAGACAGAGGGACGCTGTTGGACAGTTAATCTGTCTTTATGTGTGCTGCTGGATATATTTGTGCCCACAGGAACTTCCCAGCTGCTGAGTAAGCTGTTCATACTGGTTCTTACTGGATCAACACACACTCCCTGTAGCATGTGTGTGACACCTTTAAGCAATTCAATCAGTTTTACAGGTACTGAGCTGCATTTGGCCAGTTTCTCCTTTGGTTTTGGCTCCACTTGAACTAGATTAGCTCATCAGTCTGGTCCCAGCTTATAGCTTATTTTAGAGATTTCTGATCGTTCCCAACGTTTCCACCCAAACCCACCTCAGAAGATGGTCGTCAACTGCCAGATGTATGCTGATGACACCGTCACTTATGTGTCCACAAAAACACCTGGCCTGGCAGGAGAGCGCCTGACGCAGGCTTTATCAGACATCTCAGAATGGCTAGAGTCGTCCCACCTAACTCTTAATGTTAAAAAAACTGTGTCCATATGCTTCTCTGTGAGAAACAGGCCTGATCAGGAACTATTTGAGGTTGGGATTAAAGAGGAAATCATTGAAGTAAGGAGTGATGTGAAGTACCTTGGGATCATCCTAGACAAACACTTAAAATTTGACAGTCAGGTTGAGCACGTCTGTAATAAGGTTAATACAAATTTAAACTGCTTCCGTTTTATCAGAAGGAACCTGTCACACCAAACTGCTAAACTGTACATGCATGCACTGATCTTTCCCCACTTATCATACTGCATTACATCATGGTCACAGGCCTCATCCACCACTCTAAAACCTATAGTCTTAATATACAAGCAAGCAATAAAAATTATGGACCAGAAACCATTGAAATGGCATCATTGTCGCATTTTAAGGAAACAATCTTCTCACTTTTGAAAATTTTATTAATTTTAGCACTCTAAGATTCTTTTTCAATTGTCTAAATGATAACTTGTCTAAACTGTTCTCTACTGTGGCCATCAGACGTCAGAGCTCTCACAGAGCGATCACTCGAGCCTCCACCTGTGGTGATTGTCTCGTCCCGTGGTGCAAGACTTCCTTTGGTCAGTCTGCTCTTTCTGTAAAGGGGGTCGAACTTTGGAACTCTCTACCTACTGAGCTAAAACTAGAAACGGACAGAAACGTTTTTAACAAAGAACTCAAAAAATAGTTAGTCTAAACAACAGTGTCTACATGAATAGTTTTAAACTCTTACATTGCTGCTCAAATTGCCTTGTTTTATTCTTTTTATTCTTTCTTATTGAAAATTGTTTGCAATTTTAATCTGTTTTCTCTTTGATTTATTGTTGATCTCTTTGTATTTTATTTAAATGTACTCTACTTTTTAGAAAGGTTCTATGGACAAGTGTTGCAAATTAGCACGTGTGCTAACACACTAAACAATGCATCTGGTTCGTCCAATGTAATTGCTGTGTCCTTGTCAAATAAACATCACATCATCAGAAGATCTGAAGTATGAGCAGTTGTGAGCTGCATTACAGGAAAAGAGCATCAGCGGTCTGCCTCTAGTCAAACACGTATCCTGCATCCGTTCACAAACAGTGTCTCATTACTCATTTGAACTTTTAAAAGTATTTACAAACTAAATAATAAACTTTTAATTAGGGATGTAAGAAAATATCGATATGGCAATATATCGTGATATTTTTTCCAGCAATATTATATCGATATTCAAAAGCCGTGTATCGGAAATATTGATATGGCAATATATCGTGATATTTTATTCCTGCGATTATTACATCGATATTCAAAGGCCGTGTATCTAATTTTTGAAAGAATTTACATGCAAACATTTGTGCATTTTCTTTTCGTTTTGTACAATTCAATCGCCACCCGCTAGTTGGCAGCAGATTTTGTTTCCACCATTGAAATGTAAATCCCTCCATCATACAGTGCGTTTACATGCAGCCAGTAACCCTTTTAAAACCCGAATATTCACAATAACCCGGTTCCGCAGGTCCGTGTAAACACAGCCAAAAACCCGGATATGCTCATAACCGGGTTTTTAAAAACCCGGTTACTACACCTGGGGTAACCCTTTTCTAACCCGAATGTTTGGTCGTGTAAACGCATATCGGGATATCCCCATCAAAGCATGTGTTCTGCGCATGCTCTGTTCGCAAGGAATCTTGGTCTTTTGAGTAGCGAGACGTCTTGTATGCGCCAGAACACCGGAAGTAAACAACAAGTTGGGAGCAACATGGCGAGTCGCGGCACAGCACCACACTTTTGGAGTGACGAGGAAACTAAAGCGCAAACAAACGCGGTCGCTATCTCTTCCGAACTGGGAAACATGTTGTTGTTTTCACGGACACCGGAACAAGAAGAACCGGAAATGACGCATATTGCGTCTGGACGTAGTCCATACGTCCTGACGCTACCCCAACGTCCGCATTTAAATCGGGTTATGCAAGTTAGGGGTAACTCTTTCTATTTATGCTTGTAAACGGGTTATTCTGATCAACTCAGAAACCCAAATACCGACCTTAACCCCATCATAACCCGGATATTGGCTGCATGTAAACGTAGTCATGGTTCAGATACCTCATGTTAACCATGTTACGTATCAGTTTGGACTGCTTATTGAACACTCTTACAATAAATTCTGTAAAAAAATTGCTTTGTAACGTCTGACTGAATGTATTGCAATATATTGTGATGTATCGTATCGTCTCCCCGTATCGTGATATGTATCGTATCGCCAGAATTTCAACAATACACATCCCTGCTTTTAATTATTAATAAACCTTTATGAGAACTGTAAATAAAAGTGGCACCAAATAGTCTTTTAAATTCTTCAGTTATGTAAGTATCAAGAGCTTTCACCAGATCTGACCTTGCTTTTCTAGAACCTTGGTAAAACTAAAATCCTGCAGTGACCTGAACAGTCAAACATCCACCGTGACAGGTGGCTGGCCTTGCCACTGGTGTTTTGAAACCTCAGGTTACTCAGTCTCTGATCAATTTGACAAAGTGCTCCAGGATGACTGAGAGCTGCAAGTTTGACTGGTTTGTGGAGGATGCTTCATTTAACACCTTGGATCAACTTTTCTTCTCACTGCCATTCTTGAATTTAGGAACTGATGAGGAAAGCAGAGCTCTGGATTTAGTGGTCAGTCTACGTTCCAGCCCCCACCTCCGCTCAAGAGCTTTTACTGTAAAGAATGCAAGGCTCAGCCTAAAGCCTAGTTTATACTCCTCCATCAGCAGGGGGCAAAGACACCCAGCGCCATCTTCCATCAACGCAAGCGCTGCAGCAGGCCTGCAGAGGGCCCAGTTTTCTAAATGACTGTCCAAAGCTGCTGAGAGCACAAGTATGTGATTGGTCAGGATGCCACTTCCTGTAAAACTCATCAACAGAACAGCTGTTTTTAAGAAGATGTCTAACGACAAACACGGAACACATATAAGAACGTCTTGCAGAAGAAATGTGACGATAAGAACATTTCTACAACTCTTGGCTGAAGGAGTACACGCAGCAGAATTATGGGAAGCATGTGTTTGAAGGTGGCGACTGCACGAAGAGGTGGAGGAGAATGAGGAAGAAAGGCTTTAGGGTGGTGGTAGTGGTGGTGGTGGTGGTGGGGGGGGTTCAGGCATCTAAGTTGGGCCTGCTGCCCCCGTGACTCGGACCTGGACAGGCAGAAGCTGGTGAACAGAAATTAAGTGTGAGGAGACTCAAGCTTGGTTTATGCTTGACGCATTCACTTTCCGCGTGGTGATGCGGCTCGCGGATGGAACGCGCTTCACAACACGCAGCGTTTATGGTTCGTGCGGCTCGTCTCTGCGGTGAGCCAATATTCTCCCAAACTGAACAGGGCAGCATGGAGCTCTATGGCAAGAATCCAACACTACACCATAGTAGAAGTAGAAATTACTGTTTACAACACGGCATTCCAGCATTTTTAACAGAGTCCTCGTCTTTTCCGACAGTGCGAGCTATTTCTCTCCAAGAATGATTAACAACAAGTTGATCACGGTGATCTTTGAGAGCTGAATCATACAAAAGTCTGTATTTACGAACCTCTGCCGTACTAGTTCTTGCCGGTCCGCCATGTTTTTCCGCGTCCGTCCGTCCGCGTGGTTAGAAATTTTCCGAGGTGCGCATTGCGGAAATCTTGAGCCGTGCGGAGACTCGGTGGAGGGGCGTGGATGTTAAAATGACGCAACTTTTCCGCGCGGAGCCGTGCGGACCTCGCGGACGCGTCAAGCATAAACCAACCTTCAGGAGTGTGGATGATTGATGTCTCACTCACTCACACACACACACACACACACACACACACACACACACACACACACACACACACACACACACACACACACACACACACACGAGCAGGTAGACTTTAGTCCAGCCAAAACACGAGTTCCTCCACCTGCATGCGGGCTTCTCGTGACCATTCACCTGATAGTTGGGTGAACAAATGTCTCTTGCTCTGATGAGAAAGACACACCTGCACCAGAACACTCTCGACATCTTTGCGTGTGTTTGTGTCTTGCAGAGAAGCAGGGTCACGCCCGAGAGATAGTGAGGGAAGCTGACCTTACACAGTTGGACGCTTTGGTCATCTTGTCGGGAGATGGACTCCTGTTTGAGGTACAGACACATCAGAGACATCAGACACGTTCATCTGATTGGGACGGTACATGTTAATGGACAAAACATCACACTCGTTTCATTTTCCTCACTTAGAAATCAGAATCAGTAGGACTTGAGTCGGTCCGTTCCTTATAGTGAAAAGGTTCCTGAGTAAAAACTGAAGCAGTGGCAGGTTTTTATGTGTATTTTCTGTGTCAGGTGATTAATGGACTGGTGGAGCGTCCAGACTGGGAGGAGGCCATCCAAAAACCACTGGGTATCCTTCCTGGTGGGTCTGGGAACGCCCTGGCTGCTTCTCTACTTTACTACTCTGGGTGAGCTTCATCCTGGAAACAAAACACGCCTTTGTTTGTGTTTATTTCAAATCTTTTAGCATTTGATGGTTCAGTTCTAAAACCATTCATCCTGTTTTTGCATTTTAGCTGTTCACCCAAATAAAATAACGACTCAGAGATTAGAAATCATCAGTTAAATTAATATTTGAAACATTATTCTGCCTTTTTTTCATCAAATAACAAAAATAAATAAAATCCTCAGTAAAAGTGTAAACAATCTTTAGTTCAGGGATTCCCAAAGTGTGGTGCGCGAGCTGCCGCTAGGGGGTGCGCGAGGTGAAAAGTGTAATGGCTGCGGAGCTCAGAGAAGTCTGTCATATGTCACCATTAGCGTAGCCAGAAACTCATTTGTAAGTGGGCCTAAGAAAAAGTAAGTGGGCCCAATAAACGTAATTGAAAACAAGTATATTGTGTGTGTGTGTGTGTGTGTGTGTGTGTGTGTGTGTGTGTGTGTGTGTGTGTGTGTGTGTGTGTGTGTGTGTGTGTGTGTGTGTGTGTGTGTGTGTGTGTGTGTGTGTGTGTGTGTGTGTGTGTGTGTGTGTGTGTGTGTGTGTGTCCGCCGCATGTGCCCTAGCTTCATAATAATAATGCGCGCCGAGCTTCAGCACTCTGGCCTGCGCAAGCTGTCAGTAGCAAGATATGTTCAGTATTTGATCATTTTTAACGATGTTGGAGAAATCTGAAGGTGGTGCCTGCCACATTGTAATTAACACCTGTCTCATGCAGGTGTTCTGACATCGTCAACCTCACACACAGAACATTGTGGATGTAACTAAATAAATCAAGAAATGATTCCCATCTGAGCATTTTAGCATTATTATATTATTATATTAGCCCACTGACTGTGGGACAGTATTCTAACAGCGCGCTGAAGATCTGAAGTTCAGAGCGCGTCTGTCAGAGGTCAGACGCGATCCAGCGGAGCCACGGCTCACGGGTGCACATGTGAGCACATCTGGGCTGGGCAGAAGGAATTTTACAACATTGGTTTAAATAGCGCCAATAACGAGACGCGGTGACTGGAGCGGCTCATGGAGCTGTACCGTACGCACACACACACACACACACATTCAATAAGCACACGCGCTGCGCCGTTACTGCAGCATTTGTTATTCCAGTCCCCATCGCAGATTCAGCCACACCATAAAACAGCAATAAGTCGGTCTGAGGCAAAAGTGAACCTCATGGCTTTTCCATATTTTCCCCTATAGACATTTGATTACACACAAGTAGGTGATCAGCTCAGGTTTACGCAGAGCAGAAGGAAGGAGAGCGCTCTGGCCGCACAGGTTAAACGTTCCTACTTTAAGAAAACCGTTAAGTGCATTTTTATGTGCTACCTGGGCACTCTAAATATGTATTTAAAATTAAATAAAAGGAAATTGTAATGGTATTGAATGTTTATTAATTACTATTTAAAAAAAGAAAGTGATGGGGAAAAAGGTTGATCATATTTTTTTAACCCTGTCTGTTTAGCTTGACGTCTGACATATATACATATATATATATATATATATATATATATATATATATATATATATATATATATATATATATATATATATATATATCCATGCCCTGATGTGGGGGCTGGGGGGGGGGGTCGACATGGTCGGGACATAGAAGGGGGTGCGCGTCTAAATAAGTTTGGGAACCGCTGCTTTAGTTGATGGTAAAAACATTAAAGGTATTTCTGGCAATGGGGTTACCAAACATGCACTATAGAAACCAGTCAAACCAGTTAGACAGCATTTGTGTATGCTCATGCTGTGTGCAGATTCTACCCAGGTTTGGTCCAAAAGTCATCTAAAAACACACACACACACACCTCACTGTGTGTGGATTTTCAGAATAAAACATCTCCATGTGTAATTTGATCATTAATATTAAATAGTGGAGTCATTTAAAGAGAAAAGATGGTTACAAACTTAAAGGACAGAAAAGTCAAACACAAATGATGAGTTTTATTTTTATTTATTTTTGCTGCCTAGAAGTAGTTTAGTCTGCAGAGGACAGCAGGTGGTTGTCGTTGTAACTAGAGCCCTGCAGTGGTGCCCTAGGCTGCGGGTCGGCCCGGCCCGACAGCCCGAGGGCCGGGCTTCGGGCCAACAACTGTGTAATTACCTCGGACACGGGCCGGGCCGGGCGCCTTTATTTTTAATAGAATTCATTAAAAAAAACGAAACCCTTAAACGCAGCAGCACCTGCCTTCTTCTCACGCACCGTTAGCTCAGTTAAGGTGTGTGTGGTTTATAAATGCGCCTACATAAACGAATTCTCACACTGCTGATTGAAACATGTGCCCCTGTTCTAATACGCCATTTTATGTCCACTTTGATGTCAGAAATCATTCGTTCATTCTCATGGAAACTGCAGCATTTTGTTTTTCTGTGAATAAATTCGCTCTGCAGTTAAAAAAATACAGCATTCATCGCTGGGTTTTTTCTAACTGCAGAGCGCATTTTCAGAGCGGCAGATTAAATTTACAAACGCTTTATTAATTGGGGGCGTTTATTTAATCTGCCGCTCTGAAAATGCGCTCTGCAGTTAGAAAATTTGAATGCAGCTTTTTTTTCTAATTGCACAAGAGCGCGTTTTCAGAGCAGATTAAATTTACAAACGCATCCAATTAATATAGTGTACGTAAATTTAATCTGCCGCTCAAAAAATACGCTCTGTTGGAAAAAAAAGCTGCATTGATGCCGTTTTTCTTTCTTGTCTTTTTTTTTTTTTTTTTACTGCAGAACGCTTCCCACAGATCATTAGAATGGGGAGCATTCTATCACGCTAAAACATTATGAAAGGTTAAAAAAAAAGTCGGGCTCGGGTCGGGCCAGAGAATCCTGAAAACCTTTTCGGACCGGGTCGGGCTGGGGCTCCGCCCCCTCGGGCCGTGCCGGACACGGGCTCAGATTTTAGGCCCGTGCAGGGCTCTAGTTGTAACCCTAACCCTATGAACTGGTGTTGGAGTGTAAAACGTACCAATTCAAGTTTACGCATAATTATCCCGCAGCGGATCAAAGCCAGGTCTTCTCACTGCTGTTTGGTTCGGTCAGGCTGGTAGATCATCTGGGTACCACGGGAACAGATGAAGTATTTTAACTTGAGAGCCAACACCATCTAGATTCTGACAACCATGTTCTCCTGTTCAGGTAGAACGCATAATCAGGAGTCATGGCTCTGTGCGTCCTCACACACAGGTGGGACTTGTTTTTGTTCCTCTACTTTCTGGTTGTTTTACAACTTTTGTGTGAGTTTGTGTCTTGATTTCCTGAATGAAACAGGGTAAAGTGGGAGGAAACCCACCTTACTGATGGTTCTGTCATCCAGTTATCCCCTCATCACACAAAGCTCTTCCATCCAGAGCCACAGCAACAATGAGAGGAAGGGACCAGACTCTGCATTGTTTTCTCTCCTCTCTCTCTCGGATCATCCAGAAAATCTCTCTGTGGTTGCTACCGGCTGCCTGGCGCTAGCCGAGGACAGATCCTGTCTGGGTTTACACCAGCTGAATGTTTGCAGCTAGAGTCGATTTCTGAAAGAAACGGTTCTGTTTGTCGTCTAATGAGCTTTGAAAGAAAAGCGTCTGGACTTCTTTGAGTTGCTTGAAGACGTTTCACCTCTCATCCGAGAGGCTTCTTCAGTTCTGAAGAAGCCTTGTTTGTCCCTTGGCTGCTGGACCAGGAAGATGTTACAGAGAACCTGGAAACTAGGAGACATTAGGGTCCGATTAAGGCTTCACATTGGTGCCCGTTTCTAATACTGAGATATACACTCACCTAAAGGAATATTAGGAACACCGTACTAACACAGTGTTTTACCCCCTTTCGCCTTAAGAACTGCCTTAATTCTACATGGCATTGATTCAACAAGGTGCTGAAAGCATTCTTTACACAGTGGTAACATGGATGGACCCATGTTCTCATTCTGTTTACGCCAAATTCTGACTCTACCATTTGAATGTCTCAAAAGAAATCGAGACTCATCAGACCAGGCAACATTTTTCCAGTCTTCAAATGTCCGATTTTGGTGAGCTGGTGCAAATTGTAGCCTCTTTTTCTTGTTTGTAGTGGAGATGAGTGGTACTCGGTGGGGTCTTCTGCTGTTGTAGCCCATCCGCCTCAAGGTTGTGCGTGTTGTGGCTTCACAAATGCTTTGCCGCATTCCTCGGTTGTAACGAGTGGTTATTTCAGTCAAAGTTGCTCTTCTATCAGGTTGAACCAGTCGGCCCATTCTCCTCTGACCTCTAGCATCAACAAGGCGTTTTCGCCCACAGGACTGCCGCATACTGGATGGTTTTCCCCTTTCACACCGGTCTTTGTAAACCTTAGAAATGGTTGTGGGTGAAAATCCCAGTAACTGAGCAGATAGTGAAATACTCAGACCGGCCCGTCTGGGACCAACAACCGTGACACACTCAGAATTGCTTAAATCACCTTTCTTTCACATTCTGACCTTCAGTTTGGAGTTCAGGAGATAGTCTTGACCAGGACCACACCCCTAAATGCATTCAAGCAACTGCCATGTGATTGGTTGATTAGATAATTGCGTTAAGGAGAATTTGAACAGGTGTTCCTAATAATCCTTTAGGTGAGTGTTTATTGTGTTAGTAAACATACAGAACTTGTAAAGATGATTTGAAAACCACGTTAAACTATGCTGCACTCCTGCCATGGGGTTGACCATTACAGGCAGTCTTCTAGATCAAGTCAGCTTGTTGTTTTTGTAACGTGATACAATCCTAACTGAAGACAGAGTAAGTCAGAAATGCTAAATAACGCTGTTCAAAGCCTCATATCACTGACAGATAAGAGAAGCGTCCAATGGATGTCCTCCAGTTAGTCAACAACTAGTCTCACGCCCACAATCCGACATAAAATTAGGCTGAAAACCACCAAAGTGTCCTTCAGATGAGTCTCTTTATTGGAAAGTTTTCTTCATAATGTCTGTTAGCATCCTTATATTAGCTTCAGACTCTTATACTGTATCGCTGACCCTGATAGGGGAGCTTTGATGAAGGGCGAAATCTCCAGCCATTGACCGACAGGTCTATGGTGCCACCCTCGATTCTCACGTGTCTAGCTTGAACCAACAGCAGTTCTGTTGTTGTTGATGGATGCAGCAAATAGCCAATAAAATCCTGAAAATAACATCAGATGTTTTGTCAGAAAACCCAATCCCTCATAGACTGGTGAGCTATCTTAAATATGTAAATATATAGTCTGGCCACGAACCACTGATACAGCTCACTCAAGGGGCGGCATCTATAGTTGTCTTTCAAACTGTCTCCTCACGTAATTGGACAGTGCTAGGACCAATCCGAGCAACAAAGAGCGACGTGACATACTCACTGCTACTGATGTCAGTCAACAGGGCATTCCGCCATTGGGAGCCTAAGCCACGCCCATCTATTTCCAGACCATAGGTCCCCTACTGCTAAAAAAAATGAATGGGGGTTTATGGAGCAATATCTTGTTTGATACGTGCCATGGATTCCATATATAACGTGAATTTTAAAGACATGTTCTGATACCAAGACAGCGCTTTTTTCTGACAGGCGGGAAAAGTTATTTTAGGTTTTGAGGATTCCAACTCTTCGCCTCACCAAATGACATCATCAAAGCCGACTAGGAAAAGAAAAATGGCAGGGTTTAGCGAGCTTAGAATCCTTCTTCTAGGATAAAAGAAGGGGCATTAAACTTGGAGAACACCACTATAAATGTGGTCATGTGGTAAGTAGCAGCTACGCTGGAGAGAAGAGACTGCAGTAACGTCATACGTGCGGCGTCGGATTTGTAGTCATTTAATCACAAACCTTTACAAGCAAATCTCAAATTACGTGACAGACATAGTCAAAACACAAATAATGTTTTTTTATTTAAATTAAAGTACAACATAGGAAATTAGAAAATAACTTGTCTTTCCCCGTTCACTTACATTCATTATTTGTTTTTGTTCAGGGGACCCATGAGTCGACCCGAGGTGGAGTCGACTAACCCCCAAAATTCCACTACCACCGCTCCGACATGAACGCCGGAGCAAAATCGGTCCCGTTGTAGTCAATCAGAGCAATTCCACTACTGCAGCCGTGCTCCGGCAGTGCGGCGCCGTGCGCCGCCCTCTGTTCCGGTGTCCGGCAAAAATAGAATCGATCCTATTTTCGCCGGACGCCGGAGCACCTCCGCAGTAAATGGACAGAAATCACAACCGCCCAACAGGAAAAGGAGCAAGCACAACTTCCATTTTTCACAATAAATCGATAAACAAAAGGCGTTTTTTGTTTCATATGCACAGGTTTAACAACTTTTAACAACTATCAATGGCGGCTGAAGTTTAAATGCACAAAAGTAAGCCATAAATACAGTTTCTACTATCAAAGTAGTCACACTTTGTTGATCCAAACACTGCTGATCTCTCAACACAAATGATGGGCAGATTAAACAGTTCATTTCGATGCTTCTCCCACACAACGGGTGTTTGGATCTAACTTCCGCGTTTATTGCTCGGACTGTATCGCAAGATCTCGAAAATCCCGCGCATGCTTGTTTGCCCCCCTCAGGTCTCCGCACCGGAGCGGAGCCGTTGTAGAGCGGGTACCAAGAAAAATTGACCGGAGCGGAGCGGAGGTAGTGGAATTTGGGGGTTAGGTTCCCTATGCACATTGTTTCAAAATAAAAGACTTAAGTAGCTCTATCTACTCATGTCTTAAATAAAAGCTCAAGTCTAAATCGTCCAAAGTTGATGCCGAAGCCATTTCAAACAAGCACCATTCCTGAGCCGACACCATGTTTGCTGTTTCTCCATTGTAGCTCTAGCATTAAGTCCGTCCAATAAAGCGTGCTGTGATTGGCAAGTCACAAAACTGTTCTAGCCAATGGTAGACCTGCCGAAGCTACAGTGGAGCGTGGCTAGACCAACCTGCAGAGCAATTTCTTTTTTGCTACTGCTACTATTTGTCTAGACTTCTTGGTTAAACCACTTGCAGTCTGCTTCCACAAACTGATTAATAACTATTGTGAGTGGTTGGTAGATCGCTGCACACACACACCACATTGTTGACGCTCAAATGTAACATAATGAACTTCTAAATTCTTTTTTTTTTCAAAGGGAATCCAGACAAAAAAATAAATAAAATGAAGATCCTGAAAGTCCTTTTTATTTTTAACTCAAAACTTTACCTGAGAACTTCTGAAGATGGCAGAAACACGACATAACTAATGTTTTCTACTATTATCACTTCCTGCCTTTAATTTGAAGCTAAATGTGAGTTTAAACGTCTAACCAGAAAGGTTGAACAGGGACGTGTTACCTCTGTGTTGCATCACCCGTCCTCCTGGAGACTGACTGCTGTACTTCTTCTTTGATGAGAGGTTTAAAATACCTCCTTTGCTGCATTTTTATTTTCATTTTGTTTTATTTAGTGTCAGATGGTTGCTTTAGGGTCCAGGCTCCTAATAAATGTTGTCATACTATCTGTTGTGACATGTGTTCATGTTACCAGTTTTTTATTGTTGGACAGTTTGAATGAAAATCTTTAGAAATACCAGCTTTATTAAATGGATTTTATAACCCTAGTTTTCTGATTACATAAAACCTAAAATGTCCAGAAAGCATGAAAGATACTAATTTATGTCAGCAGGTGTCAGAGTTGAGCTGTCTAGTGGCGAACCACCTGGATGACCTGGTAAAGGTACCATAAGTAAGACTTTAACAGTGGAATGCTCACTAAGCAGCTTCATGTCCATCGTGTTTGAAGGAAAGTCACATTATACTGATTTCATGCTCAGATGGCTGGGGTAGTGTCGGCTTTTCTCCTTTTAAAAAGGCCAAAGAGGGATGTAGTCTTTGTTTACAATCTGTGAGCCTGCTGGGCCACCATATCTGCCCCAACAAACGCTGCAATGCCGCCATTCCACACAGAGTGGCAAAAATCTTCACTGTTTTTTAAAGATCCTAAGCAGAAGCGACCCAGAAGTTACTTTGTATACCCCTTAAGCCTTCTTTCCACTGAAAGTGAAAGCGGTGTGTACCGAAATAGACATTCTACTCACGAGCTCTTTTCTAACCAGGAGCAATTGTGACGCAAACGACAGTGAAAGCGGTCCACCTCGATTCCGTGAGATCACAAAATCACGGCAGAAATGTAACATCACGCGTGATTTTGGGAGTTCACACGATAACAAGCAAGGAGAAAGACAGTTCAGGCCTATGTCAGTGGTTCCAGCCCATGTATTCAAAAAGGTCTGTGGCTTTTTTTCTGTTCATTTTACATCGGCTACAGGGTGTGTCAGAGGAAATGATGTGCGTCTATCTGCACATGACTTTTATTTTGAAAGTTTTTTGGATGTTTTCCACTGCTTTGGCATTTAAATTCCTGTCTTGCCCAGTCTAGTCTGTGGAGTTTGGCATTTTTTGAAAGCGTAGCGATAAACCCAAAATGTAATGATGGCTCGGTGGAAAGGAGGCCAATCTTCGATATTACAGTGAAATGTTTTCTTCTACTAATCAGCTTATTGTGTATGACTCGTCTTCACTCACCGTCTAGAATCTTCTGGTGCTGAGCCGCAGCTGTCAACAGCCTTGAAACTCACGAACAGGAGCAGGGAGTCTCGATTATTTTGACTGGACTTGGACTGCAGTACCCAAGTTTGACCACAGGATGCCATTGTTACTTCATTTTTACATCATGCACCTTTAACAAAACGAAGTTAGTACAGAACCCAGATAGCCAAGTAAGCAGATTACTTATGAACAAAGTGTTTTTCAGGAGTGTTAATGTTTGGAATTAGAGCCGTACGGAGAAACGTTGCTGGACTCGACCTGTTATTGAAAAAAATCGGCAGACATGGTCAGATGCCTCCACCATTTCTTCATTCTTGCCTTTTAAAACCAAAACCACAAAACACTTGAGTTTAGTTGCTTTATTATGTGTTAAAATCGCTGGATTTAAACTCTCAGTTGGAGATCCATCCTTTAAACCAGAATGTGGATCAGAAAGGAGATCTGTGGAGGAAGCTGTAACCTCCAGCTGGACTGGATGATGATTATGTAGATCTGTGTGAACTCCACTGAGACACTGTTCTTGGCTTTAGGGTGTGTGTGTGTGTGTGTGTGTGTGTGTGTGTGTGTGTGTGTGTGTGTGTGTGTGTGTGTGTGTGTGTGTTCATAAATAAGTGTGCAGACATACTTTCATTTCTTTATCTCCTGTCTGGAACATCAAACATCAGATGCAGACTAAAGACCTCTGAGGAGCTGAAACTTGGACTTGGTGTTTTAGTTGTGATCTTTGAGGAGCTGCAGGTGCTTGGAGGAGATCTTTAACTGTCTCTTCTCCTCCCTCAGAGCTCCTCCGGTGTCCGGTGAGGACCTTCTGGTGAGCTGTGGCTTCCTGCTCTGTAAAGGGTCCGTGTCCCACATGGACCTGGTCTCCATCCAGCTGTCCTCTGGCCCTCGTCTCTTCTCCTTCCTGTCCCTGGCCTGGGGCTTTGTGGCCGACGTCGACGTGGAGAGTGAGAAGTACCGTCACATGGGAGCTGCTCGCTTCACCATCGGCACGCTGGTGAGGCTGGCTTCACTCCGGGTCTACAAGGGTAAGCTGGCTTACCTGCCTGCCTCCGGAGAGGAGGGGGACTTGGAAAACTCTACGCCTTCTCAAAGAGCCACGGAGGCCCCGCGTGGTCCTCCTGACTCCTTGCTGCCTCCTCTGGATCAGCCGCTGCCAGGGAACTGGGTAGTGGTTCCTGAGGAGGACTTTGTCCTCATGCTGGCCATGTATCAGTCTCACCTGGCAGAGGACCTGCTGGCGGCGCCGGAATCCCGACTGGACGACGGCATCATCCATCTCTTCTACGTCACAGCCGGGATATCTCGCACCGCTCTGCTCAGACTCTTTCTAGCTATGGAGAAGGGGACACATCTGGCCTCTAACTGCCAACATCTGGTGCACACCAAGGTGCGAGCCCTCAGACTGGAGCCAAATACTGGCCTCAAAGGGAAAATAACAGTGGACGGGGAGGTGGTGCAGTACGGCCCGGTGCAGGCGGAGGTGCACCGAGGCCTGTCCAGGGTGATCAGTGGGTGAAACGAAGCTTTCATCTCTGCTGTTTGAAGCTTTTCAGATCAGAAACACGCCGGTGGCGAAGCTGGACTCGTTTATCCGTCATGGTGTCAGAGGAACCGTGTTTCTCCTGAACTCACTGTGAGGTCTGGACTCACAGCAGGAACATTAAATCATCTCATTAGAACATCAGTCATGATGCTTTACACACTGGCTTTCTGTAGCTTTAACCACCATGAGGTTGTTTAAGGTCACAACCTCAGGGCTCACGCTCCTCCAGGAGATCCGTAAGCCTCCAGAGCAGGCCCACCGCTCCTGAGACCCTCAGAGGACATTTTATTCTCCTCAGACCTCTTTTTATTATTTAGAGATGTTTGATTTTGATTTATAATAATAAATTTTTTTTTTTTTTTTTGGTATTTATTTTAGAAAATTTGAAAAAAAAAATTCACGTCCTAGAAAAAAAAAGTCACACCAAAATAAATCTGGGTCTCAGGAGGCAAAATAAATAAATAAATAACCAAAAACAAAGATTTTTGTTTTCATGGAACAAAATGAATCCAGCATAGAGTCGACGTCTACCCACACAGCTCCTCTGTGGTTCAAATCATGAACGCAAACAGCTTTATTGTTAACAACACACACACACACACACACACACACACTCGAAACAGCTTTACGGGGTGACAGAAGGGTGTGTTTTGGACACAAAGAGCCCGAAAGAGTAAAATCTTTTTTTAGATCATCAGAAGATCTGCTTCAACCCATCAGTGGGAGTTTTGGTCGTGTTCTGTTTCACGGAGAGGTCCACAGATTGGATCAGGGCCGTAGTGATAGGGTTAGGGTCATGATGTGCAACACTTAACCATTCTTCTCATTCTATAACGCTTTCTGGTTCCTCGGTGAGAAATTCGGATATTAGCTCTCATCTGGGGTCGTAAAGGTTCATATCCTGCGGCGCTGGTTCTGATGGTTGAACAAATGAGCCCTTTCCCTGACTTTGTCAGAACATGCTGTCACCATGACCGACTTCAAACAGTTAAACCACACACACACACACACACACCTACCTGTGTTTATGTTTTTGTGGACCTCCATTGAATTCCATTCATCTAATAACTCCCCTAAGCCGAACCCATACCCTAACCTAAACTCCACGTGAATTCCGACCACTTCTCTATAACCAAGTATTCGGGTACTTTGCATTGTGGACTGGCACGATGTCCCCACAGTGTAAAAATGTCCACGCGTCACGGGTTAAAGTAAAAATTTGTCCATTTAAACATATGAAGACACACACACACACACACACACACACGGCTGAACAGTTCAGGCCATTATGGTCGATGATGTCTTTTAATCTGTCAGGGCCCTTCTCCATGGATGTCCTACCCGTTACCTGAAAATGTCAACAAGAATTGATCCACTGTTACAGGCTGAGAGTGTGTGTGATGCTAAACCAGCAGAAGCAACTGGGCTCTAGAAGATCTGAGGTGGATCTTCTCGCTCAACCAGTCGCTGCAGCTACTGATCAGCTAAATGATGAGTTGTTTAGCGATTTAGTTATTTTCTGGTCTCCACGTGCTTCATCTCTGTATCCAGAATTCTGCTTCCTGTGTTCCAGCCCATGTTTGTGTCACACACACACACACACACACACACACACACACACACACACACACACACACACACACACACACACACACACACACACACACACACACACACACACACACACACACACACATCGATCTCCATCACCACGGTGTCCTTAACGTCGAGCTTCAGAAGGACGACTGGTGCTTTTAGCTGTTTATGAGATCAGATGAAACAAAGAGGTTGAGACCATGTGAGCAGCAATGGGAGGGGGGAGGGGCTTAAACTGGTTAGAATGGGTGGTAAGTGTAGGGAGGAGGGGGAGATATTGATGTGCTAAATGCTGCATGAGGAGGTAGAGATGTGCCCCTTCCTCCTCTACACATGAAGTCTGGGGAACATTAACAAACGGGTCAGAACCAAACTCAAAGTGCCGGCAGCTACGGAGCACCACCACACTCGTAAAACCCGCTGCAAATGCTTCTGACTGTCTGGATTTTCATAAGTGGTCCGGTTTGAACTCCTGAAGGTGTAATTGTGTCGTTTAGCTGATATCTGAAGCAGAAAAGTACAGACCCGCTTTGGACTAGACTGGTCTGTAGTACGAATCCCTGACCAACACCCTGTCTGAAGATCTCATGATGTTCCAACTGAAACTGAGCTCATCTGCTTCAGAACCAGCAGATGTTTGAAAATGAAATCTAGCTGAGATTATTCTGGTTGGTGTGTGTGTGTGTGTGTGTGTGTGTGTGTGTGTGTGTGTGTGTGTGTGTTCGTTCTAATGTGCCTTGAATCTGCTACCTCCTGCTGGCCACAACAAGCCACTACAGCTGCTTCTGGATGAATGACCACTGTTGAATCTTCCATCAGGACGCGAAGGCGTCCGTGTTTTGTGTTCAAAGGAAACGATTCAGTCATTCAGTCCAGTTCAGACTCAGTGGTCTTGTGTGCTTTATTGAATTGTTTTGTGATTTTTGCAACACTGACTACTGAATGAATCATTTTTATCCAGAGGGATCTATTTTCTGATCGAGACAAATGTCTGTAACTTTTCTATGACTGATTAAAACGCTCTGCTAGTGTGTTTGAATCGAATAAACAAACAAGAACCTGCTCCGTTTGTTTTTATTCCATCCTTAACGGGTTCTTCAGCCTTTTAAAGATGATTATAACTTCTAAGTTACTGTAAAGTTCGTCTGCACCTGAATCCGGTCAGGTGCCAGATTATAAGCAGTTATTCCAATATTTAAAGATATTTCTACCTTTTTGTTAGAATTGAGATGATTATGGCTTACAGAATATTGTCACTATGAATCCTGAAAAGGGTCCCTGAGCCTTTAGATGGTCTCTCAGTCTGTGCAGGATTACTGACATAAAGACTTTTGCTCCATGTTCTCGTGTTTGATATCAGCACAGATGATGTAAAACCTACAAGACCCAGTTTCTCAGCTTCATCTCAGGTTGGTGCTTCAAACGCCTCCTAAACTAGTGCGTGTGAAATAAGCCATTTCATCTTTATTACTGAAACGTGTTTAATGCATCACTACAGCGGTCTTATGGGCCATTCCCACCTGTACCGGGTCGGCCCGGGCCGGGTAGCGTAGGTTGTTTACATATCTGGGTGGCCTGGTATTTTTCCGGGCCAACCAAGGCTCATTCTCAGCCCTCTTCTCGAGGGGGTCTGCTTCAGGCCGACCAGGGCCAACACACCCACTGCTGACAGCAAATTCACACCTTCCATTAGAGCAAGCCTCTGATTGGTGGGTAGAATCAGCCCACATGGGCTTAAGGCAAGGATGTGTGGAATCAACCGGGCCAGGCTGGGGCCGACCCGGTACAGATGGGAATGGCCCATTAAAGCAACGAAACCATTTAAAAAAGAAACGAAGCCTCGAGCTTGTGTTAAATATATCGTGTTGTGATTGATCTGAATCAGGACGTCTGTACAGAGGGAGTCCGGCTACAAATAATAACTTTATTAGTTCTTTTTAAATATA